TATTAATTGATCCTCATGTGAGAAAACCATCAAAAACATCAGAAGATAAGCCAAATTGTTTTCACTGCCTTATTTCATGAACAGTATATATCAACTTGCAGTGCCAACATAAAGTATACACTTTCCTTTTTTAGTACAGTTCCTTTAAATACAAAAGTCTTAAGCTTTTGCTTCAATCATCTCATGCTCTGGATTTGTATTAGGGTATAATCTGCATTAAGAAACTTATTTGTCATTTATTATTTCCTTCTCTCTTTGAATGTTGATTTGGTAGATCAGCTCTCAGCTTTTTCAGCAAGAAGATATTTGTGGTAGGCCACAAACTTACGGCCAAAGTGCTGTGTGGAGTTTTCATTACTCAGGAGGCTTACACTCCTTTCCTAGTTTTGACAAAGGCTTTCTCAGCACCTTTAACTTTGTCAAAGATTTAGAAAAACTTTAAGCATGTTGGTACTTTATTCACAGCTGAACACTAAATTCAGAAAGGTTATTCAGATGAAACATATGCTCTGGGTCATTATTTCCTTTTGGGTTAGCTTCCCCTTCACTAACATGGGCTATTGGTATAAGCTTTAGTTTTTACTTCTAGGCTGTGAACTTTTCAGATCAGGAATTCTCTCCTTTTTTTGTACAAATGTTGAGTAGTTCAGTAAAAAGAGGCCTCTAATCTTGGAAGGTCTGCATATAGACTGCAGTGTTCTGGTTGAGCAGGTAACTTTGATTGTGTCACCATTACCCCACAGACAGTTGTTAAACATTATAGTGAAAAATGAGCATCTTTCCATTAACAGTTCATACATGTGAACAAAATTAGGAGGTGAGCTATGTGCTTCACATTTGGAATTTATCTATAAGCACAACATAAATTTTCTCATAATGATGAAATTACAGCTTTGTTTCTTATTTGGATTACTCTTTAAAACCCTGTCTATTTGTTAACTCTCTATGCGGCACTAAAGATAGGTTACATCTCATAACATGTACCAGAAATAAGCATATGTTTATCTAATAAGTACTTCTAACATACCTTGAAATTGAATCACATCGCTCAGCATCAGTAGTACTTTAAATATTATATTCTTAAAAGATTATGTACTGGAGCCTGCATTAGTGGCATTACAGTCTTTTGCTTTTAGTAGATAAAAAAAATTGCAATATGAAATGCTTATTTTGCCTAAATTGCTCAGAATGGCAAGATATTTAAAAAATCACTGATGCAATTTCATGTATGCCTTTTCCCTCACTATCCTAGATGTGTTCTACCGTCCCTCTCAAGCTTCAGATTTCATTCTGATCTGATGAGGCGCACAAGGCTCTTCTCAGCCTTCTTGAGAAGCAGTGGCTGCATTCACAGTGTCCTGCAAGATGACATTTTCAGATGCTCATTGAGCCACAATCCTGCCACAGCCCTATGCTGCCAATACATGTGCCTCGCTAGGCCATGGGGGAAAGCATGTGGCTGTCACCTCCTTAAAAATGCTGTGGCAGAACCAGGGCATCCTTCTCTTCTCATTTACAGGGCTGGCCATGCTGTCACATCACTTACTGGAGCCCTTCCAGGAGGAAGGACATATTACATAAGAAATTCACAAGAAATCCTAGATTTAGAGCAACCATGAGAGCATCTTCAACCAAAGCAAAGCTTCCCTCACCCCACAGCCATCACTGAAATGCTGTTCAAGCTGACCATCAGGCTGTGTGAGATTCTGTGCACACATCCACACAGTCCTTTGGCCTTCAGAGGCTATTCTCCCCAAATACTGGCTAACTCACACTTCAGTGGTGCCATCCACTTGCTGGCATCACAACAGGTGTGTGAGCCAAAACCACCCTGTGGCTGACCTTGATGGAGTAAAGGTGCATCAATTTTGATCCAATGGTAGCATAGCCAGCCTGTCACCATGAGAAAACACACAAATTCATCTTACCTTGGTTAGATAGCACTTCTTGGTTCTACATTCCAGACCAGGTTCTCCTTAGGCATCTCAGGACCTCCTTAGGCATATCATATCTAGATCTACTGCTTGCTTGAACTGTGAACTGAAGAACCAGAGTGCCGTGTTTATTTCCTGGTCAGATAATGCCACTTTTCCCTCAAATTCTATTCTCTTTCTCATTAAGATCAGCCAGCTAAGAAATGTTACCCGAAAGGATGTGACTCTTGGCCCTTGGTTCTTTAAACTTGTGCTGTAGATTGCTGTTATGATGAAGGACTCCCTTACCCGTGTCTGTAGAGTCATGTCTTTAACAAAGGGGACAAGTTAAATCCTGGCAGCTCTTAGTTCTTGGAAGGAGTGGGAGCTGAGTTCTTGCTGCTTGGAGTCAGTGATTGGGACAGGTGCACAATCAAATTGTATTGGATACAGTGAACAGATGTTTAAAAAGGATTTGGACAATCTCCAAAGGGAACTTCAGCAAAGGGCCAAGAATTTCAGTGTTGGAAAGACTTGCCTGACAGGACTGGAGGCAAGGGATGTATCTCTAATATCCATGTGTGATGTTCTGAGGGTAGAAGGGAGGGCTGCTGTGCTGTGCTAAGGCAATGGCTGAATATCTGGTCAGACACCCTCAGATGTTACTTGGATACAGCATTCTCTGGTGGAGCTCAGTGGGACATAGCATCAAATATTTCCAAATACCCAGTGAGAGTGTGGCATTGTTAGCCTGTTGAAACTTAACTTCTTCGGGAAGCTCCAGATTGTATTTTTGTTTTGCTTTTAAGTTTTTTACTCTTCACTCCACCGGTCTCTTGGTGAGACATGGGCAGCTGAGACCATTTCCCTTCGGTTTTCAAAAATTCCAGTAGCTTGGAGGTCTCTTGATGAGAGGGATTTTCTCTGGCCAACTTTGGGAGGCTTTTAGTTGGTTGCAGGAAAGGGTGGAGAGGAATGACATTTCTGAAGTAATTTCTGATGTCATTTTCTGATGTTTTCCTTATGAAAGTGTCTTCAGTTTGTCAGGTGCTGTGAGATATTAGTATAAGTCAAATCTTTACATAAAGGAGGCAGTGCAGAGCTGTCACAGTATGTGAATTTTCAGAATTTAGGCAGCATTGTAGGACTTAAGAGATAGTGTTCCAATTGGATGCTTTAGCCACAGCAGTCATAAAGAGCAAGCTAATGTGAATATGGGTCTGTCCATAATGAATAATCATTGCAATTTGACAGCTCCGTGGCTTGGGCTTAAAGATTAGTCAGAGCTCTTTTAGGTATCCTTTTCTCTTTACACCCCTAATTATATCTAATGTGAAAAGATATGAAAAATAAAGTTTATGCATGTTAAACCCCTCAGCATTACCTTATGTATCTCAGCAAAGGTGGAAGGAAATCCCCGACACGATGGAGAAGTTTTTGAATGGCGATCATACCTGTAACTTTATATATGGAAACTCTTAATTTGTGTTGTGCTGGCTTTCCCTTTTACCAGGAAGATTATAAAAAGCTGTGAATCAAGCCTCTAGTTCTCTCCCTCTGTGCAGGCTTAACTCCTCAAAACTTCCTCCTCAAATGTCATTTGAGAACAAATCCTGGCTTGTCTGTGTCTAGCCTTCCTTCTTAACAGCTCCCTGTTTCCACCCCTGGTTTTCAGATATGCCAAAAATGTTTCCTGCTCAAAAGACCTTGCATGCCGAGTAATTCTTCATCTCAGCAATGCTTACTTACCAGATGACTCAGTAACTTCCAAAAGCTTCATGCTGCTCTTCCTTCCTCTCATCCTCGCACTGCGTAGATATGCATATGCTTCTGGCATCTGTAAAAACACTGTATCTGCCGTGCACAGTTAGAGTCTCCTCTAAACTCAAAAGCAGAAAAATGTGTGCAGACATTCTTCTCTGGGCACAGAATTTCTTCATGACTTAAAGCACAGATAAGGCTCACTTAGAGAAGGGTAAAGAAATCGAAGGAAAGTTGTGGTGCTAGCAAAGATAGAGGTGAAGAAACAAGTTGCAATGTATTTTTCAGAAGCCATTTTTGAAAATACAGGAAGATTGTCAGCAGTTCTTGGATCACAGAGCTCCCCAACTTCTGAATTTTTAGGGAAACTGATCCTGAAATCTGAAATATGACCTCTAGGAAGTAAAGCAGAAAACATTGCCTACAGTGCATACAGATTTACAGCAATTTTGTTTTTTCAGCAGTGTTTGCTGAGGTCTTACCATTAAACAATTAAATCTGAGAACCAAAACTTGGAGCAGAGCATGTCAGCCAGTTTGTGTTTATGTTAACAGCTGTACAGGCGTGCACTTTGATAAGTGAGTCCTGGTAGTGAGTGTGCATGTGGGTGTTTAGCTAGAATTTGGGGAGAGGATGTTCTTCACGCTTGCTGCTCTGTATTTTCCTGGTGAATGTGAAAAAATTTGTATTCCTGCCTTCTAAGAAGGAATTGTATTAGTGACTACAGTGGTTAACCTGGGTCTTCATGTGGGAGTGATTGGTTCTGGAAGACAAAGCCAGCATGTGAGAGTTTAAGGCACTTATATGTGTATGTAAGACAAGCTGACATTCACCCAAAGGGGGAAAAAAGTGATTGAAGCCCTTTTTCCTGTAGCTTACAAGAAAAAAAGAGACATTTCATTTTCATGGTTAGCTACATATCAAGCAGGTACTCTGATCATGAGAAGTTAAATCAGTGAGGGTAATCAAGCAAAACATACCTCAGAACTTGCCTCTCAGAAAAGGCATGGTAGGTGATGTAAGGTTAGACAATCTACAGTCACTCAGACTTTACTCAGGGGCAGTTTATGTACCGTGGCCCTTTGAAAAGCTGAAGATGTAGAGTGACTGAGCCAAGTTAGTAAGTTTTTCCAACAATTACCAAAAAGCTACAATAGCTCCTGTGCCTGAGCAATTTGGAGTAAATCACTGTGGATGTCAATGAACTGTTGGCAACATATACCCCTGCCTGCATTTTAGCAAGGCAGTACAGTCTGACATCCCAGTGCAATAGTTTCACTGTGAACTTTGTTTTGATCTTAGTATTTCTGTTACACTGTTTTTCAGGCCCTGATTATATCAAACAAAAATTTCAAGAAGGAATGGATGGAAAAGAAAAATCTGAAGAAAAAGGTCAGGAGAAACCACCCTCCCCAAAAGAGTCACCTCACTTTTATCGAAAAGGTACTACACCCCCTCGAACCCCAGAAGCAAGCCCAAGAAATAGTCCTCCTCTCTCTTCTGAGACTTCTCCTTCAAAACAACTGAAAAGGCAAAGCTCCACTTCTGGGGCAAGACTCAGTCAAGAAAAAAAGCTTTTAGCAACTGAGAATATAACACCCACGACTAACAAGCCTTTATATTCAAAAGCACCTGTGAAGGAGGAAGCAGCTGGGAAACACCAGCCAAAGTTCTCAGCCCAGCACAATGCCAGCAGCACAGAGAATGGGGAGCTGCATGGTCACTACCATGGCTATTATGTAAAAACAAATCCAACAGCGCTTCCACAGGAGCTCAGGGAAGAAGATGAATATGCCAACCCTTCACCATCAACCCTTGCACGGATACCACCCTCTCAGAAGCCAAGTCCTGCTAGATCTGGGGGTAAGCCAGATGCCAAAGAAAACAAGCCTGACATAAAAATTAAGAAACCAGAATTTGCTGCACCAAAGAACCCAGCTAATAATGAGTCCCATTCAGCAATGGAGAAAGAAGTAGGAAACAGCTCGGTAAGTACTACAAGGAACATTTTCACTTTCACTGCCCTTATGCCTCTAAGTGCTGAGCTTTGCAATCTAAGTAAGCACTGTCAAATCTTCATCTGGATACAGTCTGCTAGCTAACACCCGCTTCACCTGGAGTGAGGAAGAAATATTCCAGTCTAGAATAAGCAGAGTTTTTAAAATACCCTTTCAGATCAGTGTGACTCTTAATTTCATTATTATTCAAAAATAATAAAATTATCAACAGTTGTGCAGAAAAGGAGTGATGACTAATAGCATTTCTATTTCATGTTAGAAGAAAAAGCCAGGCTATGAAATTCAGAATCTCTGATTATGTTTCTGTGATTTTTGGGCCAAGAGAAACTCAGGAAATCATTAGTTTTGCATACTAAAGTTAGCCTTTAGTGAATGAAGAGTTCTAGATAATAATGTTTCTCTTTTATAAGCATTGTTTCTTTGAGTCATTTTTGGTGGTACTCTACAGAACAATAACAATGTGTTGTTATTGATGGGATAAACAGAATTACCCATTTAAAGAGATCCAGATAGCCTAGTACCAATTGCATGCAAAACACTTGAATAATTGACATCAGACTTCATTAATAATAAATCTAGATAATAAAGAGGGGGAGTAATTTCCCACCAACATGAATTGGAAGTGATCTTGTCAAACAAGTTTGGCATCTTCAGGTGTGGCAGAAGAATCGTCATCTCAATCAAGAAGGTCACTTGATTTGCTTTTACATGGTCATGTATTCTGACAAGAAAAACAGACTAATGCAAAGGCTAAATGTCACATTAAAAGAATTTTTTAAACTGACTGATGGGTCTCAAAAAGTAATTAGAAAACCATCAGTTATTTGATATTATTCTGGTGAGGTCATTCTTACATCAATTCTGTTACTCTGATCACATTCTTGTAAATGACATACAAGAGGGCATGAGAATATTGTCCATGAAGTTTATAGAAGACACTGAGACCAGGAGAGTGGTCTGTAATGAAGGCAAATACAAGCTCATGCAAATCAACTGCTGAGAAGGCTGAAAGTATAATTATCCATGGCAGCACAGCAAAATATAATATTGTACATGAAAGACAATTTCTAGAGCCTGGCACTGCGGGATCAGAACTGGAAAAGGTTGGTGGATCAGGAGCAAGAGAGGCAACTGAACATGAGCTCCCAGTCTGCTGCTGTTGTTCAGAGATGCTAATATAATCCCTAGATTTATCAACAGAAAAGATTAAGCAAGAGTACATGGGAGTCTGTTCTATCTGCTTTTGGCACAGGTGCAACCACTTCTGGGATAAAATAGTGTCTGTAAATCAGGGATTTAAAATGAAAAAAAAAAACCTTGAGGGGAAGTCACACAAAGAGCTGCAAGAATGATTAAAACATATCTTAAAATTAAAAATTCAAGGCACAAAAACCCCGATATACTAAGTCACTTTCTGTAAGTGTGTTTTATAAAACAGTTTCCCAGGCTAACAAGCAAATGTGTCAGAAGATCCAACAGCTGAAGATTCAGATAAAAGTCTTGTTTTAAGTTGATTTTAAGGATCTTGATTAAATGTGCCATCAGTTTTCAGATGCCAGGGTTTTGGAGCCATCACTGAGTAGTTTGATAATGAGCCTTTTGCCAAGATGATATTCTGTAGTTCTGCTGGAAGCTTTTATTCTGTTTTGTGCGGATCAAAGTAAATGTTCACAGAGGTTTTGTAATCTGCAAATCTGTATTACAGCTGATATCAGCCCTTTAACCTTTCAAATCTCGCAGATATTACTCCTATGTAGGATAACACAAAGCTGACAGGCTTGTAAATGTTGAGTGAGTATGTACAATTTTTAAGTTGAATTGGAATTGTTTTTTATCTCTGGTGAAAATAAGTCACTAGTAATAGTCCTTATTTTTCCTTCATTCCAAATAATATTTTGGAGCTGAGGGTGGCTTCATCTTAACAAGTAAGCTATCTGAACAGCAGTTTATTTACCTTCTAGAATAATCAGGATAAGGACCATGACCCTACAGCCTGTTATCACAAAAGGTGTAAAAATGATGAGATATTGTGCATTAGCTACTGTTTGTTCACTGATACTGCAGTTGTGACTCTAGGTCACTCTACTTCATTTGTAGCATCCTAATTGCATTATTCTCATTGCTGGCATTCCAGTATGGAAGTAAGGTAGATTTTAGGAATTCATTTTTACTGTAACAGTATCTTAAGATATATGTAGATGTATGTGAGTGTTTTTCAAATATTCTAGTCTTCTATATGTGTTTGTAAATTTCCCCTCATAGACTAAATTTCCTACATGCTTATTTCTTCAAAATGCTGGCCGTAAAAATGCTAAACTGATTAAAGCAAAAAAGAGTGGCCTACTGGCCCAGCAGTCTGAGGGAGAAACAGTACAGAATGACTGCTAACTTTGCTGGAGACTTTTCATTTTCAGCATCACCTTTCAGCTTCAGAAAAACAGTGGCCTGTTCTGCAGTGCTCCTGGACTGAGCTCAGCAGTGTTTTGGAATAAAGCAGTGACTAAGTTAAGAGAGCACAGTTACTGAGGAGAAGCCAGACTCATGCAATCATTGAATAGCTTGGGTTGGAAGGGACCTTGAAAGATCATCTATCTTCACAACTCTTCTGCCATGGGCAGGGACACATCTACTAGACCAGGTTGTTCAGAGCCCCATCCAGCCTGGTCTTGAATATTTTCAGGGATGAGACATCCAGAGCTCCTCTGGGCAGCCTGTGCCAGTCCTTCACCACCATCACAGTAAAGAATTTCTTCATAATATTTAATCTAAACTTAATCTTTTCTAGTTTAAATCCCTTTTCCCTCTTCCTAATTGATGTACTTCTTATCCCAGATGTTTCTGAATGTTGAGAGACTTCAGAATTCTAGAGTTGCATTGGGAAATTATTTTATTTCAGTAAGAAACTGCAATTGCTTTTTAGTCATTCTGACACATGATTTTGTTATGCTTTGAAAGTAAGTCTGCCTTAGATCCTCCATAAAAGTTCTAAAATATATTTGTTAAGGAATATAAAGAGAAAAGATGTCTCACTCTCATGAAAAGAGAATGATAAAACGTGGTTTTGGAATGCAAAAAAATGAATCTATTAACATTTATCGAGCACTTTTGTTAGATTATCTGAAAGTGCTGTATAAAATTGTGCTGTGCTTTTTCTAGGTTTCCAATGATAATGCATTAAGTGCACAGATCCAGAAGGGAAGATTTTCAGTTCTTCCTTCTCTGAGTCTAAATCAAAGCCATTTTTCATACCTGAATGCAACATCAGCTTTCATTTGGATTAAGAACTTTAAACTACTTTATTTGCAGCAAAGCTTGTAGCAGCTTATTTTAGTTTTCAAATTCGTGTTTCATATTTTTTGTGAATGTTACATCCTCAAGAATGCCGTTGAGTATCATCTGTGCAATAGGTTAGTTATAGGAACAGTCTTGATTCCCTAGATATCCCCATTTCTGGCATTATACTTGAAAAATATCAGCACATACTTCTTATGCCACACATTTAAGTGTGTTTCTCTGTTAACTTATTCCCTGATATTCAAAAATCAAAGTTTTAAATTATTACAGAACTCATAAGAGTCACAGTTTTATCGAGGTGAAATCCTGCATAAAGCACTATGACAAAGTCACCTGAGTGATGTATATTATTTCTGAGAGATAAATCACCCCTTTTTCACTGAGAATGAGGCTCCTTCACATTACCTTAAATTTAGCACAGTGTTCACAGACACCCTTGACCACAAACCAGTGCTGTTGTTTCTGACTGGTCATTAGCAGCCTCTGGCCCCAGTTTCAGCTTATACACTGTTGTCCAACCTTGAATATGAGCTGATTGGAGATTCTCTTGGATTTAAGTGAAAAATAGGATTGAATTTCACAAAACACTATTGTAGTGTATATTCATGAATACACTTTTTATCGTGTCTGATACGTGTCCATGTACTGCCCTAGGACAAATAACAAGCCTGGGCTCAAGTGTTTTACTAAACTGTAATATTTTTTTTCATTTGGCAGGTAGTAAAGATTTTTAAACACACAGTGTTTAGCCTGGTTTTTACCTGAATGTCACCCAGTGATTCTACTCCCATCTTTTTGTTCGATTCTCATCTTTTTGTTCACCTAACCTTCATTTAGTAAGGGCTATAAATACCATGATGTTTGAAAAAAAGATCAGTATTTGCCTGATCCTAAAAAAAAAACCCTCTGAGCAAGAACTTTATGCTAAATTTAATGAACATTTCTAATGCAATGGAATTACAAGCCTAGTCTTTTATTTCCTGGCACTACATTTTAGGAAAATAACTTTTTTTCTTCCCCAGATGAAAACTAATCATGTGGTTGTATTTTGAACTACATAAATGTCTAACTTACAAGAAGCTGAAAGGGTAAATTCAAGCAGGACTGAAGGTTTCTACTACAGCTTCTTTAGTGCACCTGTTCTAGTCACTCTAGGACTGTTCAAACTAAATTTGGCTTTTGCTATTTTTAGCCCTTGTGGGACACTAAAGTCTTACTTGTAGTATTTGTCTTAAAGCATTAAATGCTTATTTCAAAGGTGTCTTCAAAACAGGTGGTATTTCATTGCATAATAACTGTGTGCTTCATAAATGTAGTTTGATCATGTTTTAATGTATCAGGGAATCCTGCTTTGGGCTGAAAGGTATGGTTGTCAGTAGGTGAAACATAATGCACATAGCAGGCCAAAGAATATGAGCTTTACTTCTTTGTATAAAGAGATAATCTTTATGATATTTCATTATCATAAAGAGATAACATATTTTTCTATGATCTTCATGTGAACTCAACAGCCCAGTTCTTAAGGTGTCACTTGCTTCTGTTTTGTAGATGATTCTTGATTCAGAGCACAGCCCCTGAGGTTTTCAGCCTAATTTTCTAATTTTATTGTGGTGAGATTGTTACACCTAACCTAACTGACAGATGCATCAAAGGAAAAGTCACTTTCCCCTCCAACAAGCTTAATTACCTGAGGCTGTGCACTAATGATACTGAGCTGCCATTAGAGCTGCAGTGCCAATTTGGCAATCAGCAAAAATGTGTCTTGCACCTACCAGAATGCTGTTCTGTGATGTATTTCAGGTAATTAGCAAGTGCTTGGCTCCTCTGAAGACACCATAGGTTCCAGTTTTTCTTTTTCAGTTGCAAAAAATCAATATGATTTTCATAGATATTATTTTCAAATATGCAAAGTACTAGATGGTCAAATCCTGAAAAATTGTAATGGTACTTGGCAAAGATCTTCACAGTTCCTTGCAGTTCCTGGAGCAGTATAACTGTAAAATCTTCAGGTGGGATTCAGGCTACAAAGGAGCCATTGACCTGATTTGAATCACATGGGCAATCCCTATTAGAATCATAGGATTATGGAACCATAGAGTGTTTGGCTTGGAAGAGACACGTAAAGACTGTCTGGTTTCAACCCCTGTGCCATGGGCAGGGACACCTTCCACTAGACCAGGCTGCTCAAAACCCTGTCCAGCACTTCCAGTCATGGGGCAACCACAGCTTCTCTGGGCAACCTGTTCCAGTGGCTAACACCAGAAAGATGTTGAACCCACATCTTAGTGGAAATGAATAGTGTAATGAAATCAGAATTCTGCAGAGAGCAAGGCTGCTCACAGTGCTGTGGTAACCATGTCTGGAGCTGTGCTTTATTTTATGCCTGTTCTGTGCCCCCGAGCATCTCGTATGCTTTGGCACATGGTGAGTCACTTCCACTAAGGAGGAAGGAACATGGTTCCACTTCTGTTCTGTGACCTGATGGTTGAAACACATCACTGGTAAGTGGGAGCTTGTTATTCAAAACCACTTGGACTAAGGTGTCATTAAACCTGGTCTTCAATTTCCTAGTGAATATTTTAAACATTCCACCATTAAGCAAATTGTGGGTGCTACTGCCAATCCTGTTACCCCTATGGCATAATTTAATTGGCATTCTGATAATCTCAGTCACTGTTTGCACTTGAACATGTGCTTCTCAGCATGTGAACAGACACCTCTGAGTTGATGCAAAGGGAACTTGATGGCTGTTATGGATAGAGGTGCTGATGAGGTTTAGGCTCACCAGGGATTTAAGCAGTATCTGACATAACGTGTTTTGTGACTTATTCAACATCTGGCCTGCCATCTAAACCACTGTGTAAAGCTGTGTTTTGACTAAAGGTGTTCAATGAGACTGTTTCAGGAGACCATGTGATATAATAATGACACAAGTACTATTCTATAGCTTCCCACTTACACTGCTGCAGCAAATTACTAATAGTAATTTCTTACACCTTAGCATTCCAGAAATTACACAGTTGAAGTTAGCATTATGTAGTCATGAAGCATAATGAACTTCTCCAAGGCATGCCTCATATGAAAAGTGAAAACACTGTATCATTTCTCATTCAATACATACCTTCTTCTGCAAGCCAGTGATTCTTGTGTAGCTCACAAGATAGTTTTCTGCACAGATTTTCTAGTGGGCTTCATGATTTGTGATTTATTAAAGTATTGTCTAAATGAAGAGTTTCTGCTTACAGTGCAACTGTAAAATAAAAGAATATTAAAATCTTTGTAAAATCATGATGTAATAAACCAAATATGTTAAGGGCAGTAGAGAATTGAGTATTTTCATCTGTTGGGACATATTTTCAAGTTGATGATTAGAAAGCATCCATTTAAAAAATAAAAAATATTCAAAATTGCTAAAAATAATTGAAAACCATTCTCTGGCTTCACAGAAAACTAAAATGGTGTAATGATTTAAACTTCGTAACTAATTTTAGCTCTAGCTAGGAATGGAAGGAGTTTTTTGACTTTTCAGTTCAGTCCATAAGTCTAAAAAGATAAGTGAGTAAATCAAAACAAGCTTAAATTTGCAGGTGCAAAATGCATTTTAATCTGTAATGGAAACAGGTTTGTTAGTGCAATGGTAAGTAAATTTTCTTTTCTACTTGGGTTATCAAAGAAATGTATTCTTTTTATAAAGCATCTTTGTTATGTCTGTTTTGAAATGGGTTGGAACTGAAAAAGGAACCCTCTGTAAGGATGAAGAGCAGCATTCTGGCTTTCCTAAAGTAGTTCACATTCTTTGTTTTGCTCTATTTTAAGCTAATATTTTTTTTTGTGTTGATGGGTTTGTTTTCATTTGTTGATGCAGTTGTATTTGTCAGGTGGCTTAATCTCAGTGTGATTAGGAACAGAGCAGTAATGTGCTCTCACCTGTATTTATCCAGCTCCTTTTCACACAGGTGATATTTATCTTACCAAATATCAAGGGTGGTGGCTGTGTTTCAGCAGTAGGGGCTGTTTCCTTCAGACCAAGATCAAAACCTGTAGAAATTGTGAAGTTGGATCTTGTTCATTGCTGTGTCTGTGTGGGAGGTTGCATTAATTCTAATATCTTCATTTTATTTTCAGGGCCCTAACTCAGTCATGATCGCCCTGGTAATGCTGTTGAATATTGGTTTAGCCATTCTTTTTGTCCATTTTCTAACTTGATTGGAATTAGAAAAGGTAAGGAAGGTCTCACTTTCACATAAAATCACCATATCCACCCCACCTTAAATAATAAAGATTTAATTTCTTCACATACTTTTAACGTTCCCCACTTTAATTTTAGCTATGCCTGAATGTGATTCAACATAGTTATTTAATATTGTAACTGTTTTGACCCTTCAGTGAAGTCATGACAACTAGTGGTGTTAGCCCACAGTTCTCTGCAGTTGTGTCATCAGCCTTTTAAATGGCACCTGTCATACTCAGACACAGGGAAGGAGGCTTGGAATTAGGATGGGACGCAAGAGAGATGAAACTTGGAAAATTCAGCCAGGAGCCCAGATCAGTTTCTCTGCTGGTGGCTCGTGGCTTTGGGGTCCTCTGAAAGCTGAAGCAAGCAGCCATGTTGGAAAACAAACAAAATAATCTGCTGAAGCAGCCCCGCCAGTGAAGCGCGTTGGCTTGTCCATCTGTTCCAGCAGAGTGTGACTAAAGTGGAAATGTACGGAGCTGCACTTTTTGTTGATGGAAGTTAACAGCTGCCTTACTATTTTACCGTCTGATGTTTTTAGTGGGGAGATGGGAAAACGACTGCCAGAGGAATGTGGTCAGAGGATTCTGTTGCTGTGGAAGTGATTCCAGCGTTCACTCCTATCTCATTAGAAGAAATAGTTAGCAACATCAGTCACCAGTCTTATTCCATTACCTGCTGCTTTTAACATCTCCTGCAGTGCTCTGGGAGATCGAATTTCATTTGCCTGTGCATGATTCTGTTCATTTGTTGTTTATGAAATTTGATGTATAGCCATAAGTAGTGTTTAGTCCAGCCTGGAGAAAGCTACCAGTTCTGCCTAGCAGCCGAAGCCGAAAATCAAATATATTTTCCTAGTCCAGGGAAAAAAATTCTTAAATTAATTCTCTTAAACCTGAAGAGTCATTTTGCATGAAGGTTCAGTAAATAATACACCATTACTGCAAAATTTAAAGATACTATTATCTTCCTTAAAATGCTCAAATACTTATGCAAATACCAAGCAAAAGTTTTCATAATCAAAAAAAAAATCTTACATTGGTAGAAGTACATTCTAAACAGGGTATAGGATATCAAAATAACCCAAGAAAGGTGAGATATGGGGTTTGCATGTTGACTTTTTCTTTCTTTTTTTCTTAATTTTGGTGCTGTGGTAATTGGTGATTTAAATTATTATGTTGCAACACTGAGGTATTTTGACAGCAGTTAAAATAAAGTCTTGTCTGGGTGCACATTAATGCCAATGACAGTTAGCTAATGCTCATAATAAATAATAACTTTAAAAGTGCTAGATTTGTGTTGAATACATTCAGGTAGAGCATTTAAAAATGTTAAGTGATTGTTTATCAATTTGATGCATTCAGTGTCTTTAAAGTCCATTTATAATTTTACCTCAGTATTAAAAAAGCCTCAAAATTTTTCATTTGGAACGTTTGTCTTAAGTAGTTTCATAGCCCTTTGTTCAAACGAGGTGATCACATTTCTTTTTATGTGCCATTATACTGTAATTATTGTACCCTATATTAATGAAATGCATGCTTATTTATTGAAGATATGTGGTGTGATCATTTGGCAAGCAAACATTTTAATTTAAAGCTGCAAAAAGCAAAGGGCTTGTATTACAGTTTATTTTATCTCTATTAGAGAATCTTTCATACAGTATAGTTTTTGAACCTGTTTGTAAACTTTCTAAGTTTTTGCATGGTTTAATGGGCAACATTCTTACCAAATACATTAGCTATTTTTTGATGCAGCCTAGTAAAGTACCGTAGGTATGGACTGAATGTTGTGCAGCGAAGCAGCTCCGAGCAGGGCAGTAACACCGTGGTGTTTTTTACAGAAGTATGTTGAGAATCCTGTGTTTTGGCCAGTGTGGATAAAGAAGAAAGCAGAAAGAGAGCAAATGAAAATAAAACATGTATATTTATTTTTAAAGAAAATAAAACAGCAAAGTTTAAATTGTGTTTTAAATTTAGGAAAATAATTTTTAAATAAGAACAAAATTTTAAAAGTTACTGTGTAAGCCTTGAATTAATGGATGAAATGTTCCATCCCACTATTAAATCACCCCCTGTCTCCTTACAAGGAGAGGTAATTTTGTAACTGACATATTTAATTCCTATTAAATGTTTATTTAAAATACTTTATGCTCTGGAAATAATGGGTAACAAAGCTTATGAAAAATGTTTATAAATTTAAGTAAGCATGTTAGTACCATTTATAAATATGTATGATTTATAAGCTTTTTTAAAACAAAGCTCAAACAAATTGTTGGTATTTTTCTAAAACGTGCACAGTTGTATTTTACATGAAAGGCTATTTATAATTGGTTGTTATACTGTACACTACATTTTGGACAGCACAATGAAGCCTGCCAATGTACTTAAAAATGTCATTTTGTCTATTTAAAGTTTCTTGCTGTCAAAGAATGAACTCTTTATCTATGAGTTTCTCTATTTATAATTCTTGACCCAAAATGTACAATGTACAGTTTTCACAACTGTATTTGCTCTAATAAAAATAAGTTGGTTATTATTAGAGTTTCAGACTACTTTTTCCTGTTTATGAATTACTTTGTTCACTCTTTGGAAGCAATTTTTCTAACTAATCTATTAATAAACAGGAGTGAAGCAGGAAAATGGGTGAAATTCTAGTCCCTTTGATATAATTGTGAGTTACTGTTTTCAACAAAAGTGATTCTGGGAAACAATTAAAAATAAATTAAAACAAAAAAGTCAAGCTTCCCTTTGTGTCTTCTTTTATCTTTCAATACAGGATTTTGTGTCTTGATAAATGTAGTATCTTAAACACACTCCCACTACAAGATGTTTTGATCAATTTTGTTTTAATTTGTGAGTGACTGGTCCGTTAACACCTGCTCTTGTAGGGTAATTCATTTTTTTGGGCCTCACTGCTCCTCAGGATCTTCATAGGTTCAAAATTAGCATGAAGTTTGTGGCCAATATTTACACAGAGAAAATATGCCCTTTGTCTTAAAACCACAATATTTGCTGAACTACTCAATCATCTGCAAATTTTATTTTCCATTATTCCAGTTCATACTAGTAGCCAACTGTACTGAAATCCTAACGTTTAGTTGAAGAGGAGAGCAATTTTTATTAGTAGTTTCTATTTAATGGAAATATATTTTTAGGAAGTAATCATTACTGTCTTGTTCTTTAAAGTATTGATACAAGCATGAAGCTTACCTTTAAGAATTTTTATTTTCTGCACAATACCTGCTCCCTAAAAACATCTTTGGCTCTGTTAGGGGAGAAAAATGCATTCTCAAGAAAAATGAACAGAAGTCATTTTAATGCCAAAAAAAATTCAAGTCAACCTCAGTGAGATGATTCTTCTCTGGCATTTGTGATCTACAGCGTATGTGTTCAGAAATTAAAGTCTCCATGAAATATTTCGTAAGGTGTATGAACGTGATAATATACTAATGCATATAAAAATCTGAACAGTAACAAGCAAAAGATGTGCACAGAAATAGAAGAAAACTCTCATAATTTTTAAGTCATTTCCCATCTCAGATGTTTTTACCAGTGGTTTATGTTACAAATGCTGTTACGTGGTCACGTGGTTAAGCGTCTGCTGTGCTTAAAGAAAGCAAACCCATGGACACACAATACAACTTAATGCTTCAACATTTGCTCCAGCATGAAAAATTTCACCCCACTTCCAGCAAGGAAAGCTTTTCTCAGGCAAAGTAGTTTCTCCTGGCACAGTTGTGTTTGCCCACAGGTGCCAGTGAGCAGTGAGCTCTGTCACCCTCAGATCTGAGCCTGGCTTCTTGCACAGCTCCATTTATCCAGTTAAACCATATGCACAGTGCACACGGACAGCAAGTGAGCAAGGGTGAGGTGCTGTAGACTGAAGAAAAAAAGAGAATCTGTCATATCTTTTAAGAACTTTCTTTACTTAGTGTATATATATGTATTAGTAGTATATATGTATGTATGTATGTATATATGTAATATATATATGCATACATACATACATATATATATATATATGTAATAGTTTGCCTTTCCATCAGAAAAGCAATAAGGAACATGAAGAGTTCCAGAGGAATTGCTGGCATTTGCTTTCCAAAAGGAGGCGTTAATTTTGAAAGTAAAAATTTTGAGACATGGCTACAACTTGCCCTTCAGATACAGATGGATGTTTAAAAAGTCATAAATACAGCCTGGTACTGACTTTAAAAGAAGCAAACACCTCTTTATGAGAGTTAAATTAAAAACCTTGAAATGTTTATTTACATAAGTTTTAATGATGTTCTGTGATTATGTATTTATTAAATTCTCTGTTAAGATACACAATCTGAGAAAATTCTGACAATAACATAAATGCAAGGATAAGAGCCTGCAGAATTCAGGACATGCTGAGCCTCACTAACAGTCTTAGTTGTTATTAATAAAACATGGTTGTGAATTGTATCTGAATGGTTTTACTTATAGCTCATTTGAACTGTTTAGTCAGGGAAGATGATTCTACAGGCCATTTTCCTATGGAAATGTAATTCAGTAAACAAAGCAAATTAAGAGAAAGGAGATTAAATAAGCCTTTCAAATTAAGTAGTCTTCTCATTCTCTCATTTAATATTCACAGAAACAGCCAAAAATAGAAATTATGTTAAGTCTGAGCAAGAAGCTGTTTAAGCCAGTGTGCTATAGCTGAGCCATCTACAGTATCTGTCTCCATTTTTCCTACTCCACACAGAAATTGCAAACTAAGAAACATTACACCTCCCACCATTGTAGGAGGTAAATACAATTGCCATACTCAACATTTTTAAGAAAAACAGTCTATAATGTCTGTGACTATAAACTAGAAGGAATAAAGCCACTTCCTTTATCTGAACAGTTTATGTTGCAACCTTGACTGTAACAGCAGAACAAATTCTTCATCCCCCTAAAACCAATAGCAAAAATAAAGCTGGTAGCAGAATTTGATAACAATCTTCCATGCTTCTTCCTTTTATTTGCTAAAAGAGAGAATGGGGGGAGAACAGAGAACAGACAGCTTTTTTTAACCCAATAATCTAAATTTCATCATGCCAGTATGTGCTTGCTTCACTAATGCTTTTCACAATCTGCTGGGACTGGTTATCTAGGAGATTGTAGGTACAAACTGGCAGTATATTGAATGTCATTTCTTCAAGAGGGTTTTGAGTTTTTCTCAGTAATGAAAAAAAACATGATTTCCCTTACCACGAGCAAAAATAGGTTTGGTGGTACTTTCACTGTGCAATCACTGTTTTTCCAATTATATTCTGTCCTTCACTGGCCATGCACTTCCCAGTTCTGACAAATTCAACTGAATCAGTTTTGCCCTGCATGTGGACATTGCCCCAAGACTTCAGCTGCTCACTCCAGAAATTTGTGTTTTCTGTGGGACACTTGTTCAGTGGTTTTAGCTCTCTGTGTCTGTGGAGCCCATCTCTCCTGCAGTTTTTCCCCCAGCAAACATCACGTGTCACATCACAGTTTCCATTGGGTCCATTCTCTGCATACCGTCAGTGCTGGTTTATGCAACTGTATTATAATTTCAAATCTACTCTCATTGTCTCCAGTGTCAGGACAGTGATTTAAATACAGTGTGTGGGAACTGAAATGAAAAATACTGAAAGGGATGTCATACACAGAGATTTCTCATGGCTCTTCAGAATTTGTAGAAATCAGGATAGTGCTGACATTATTAGGAAAAAAATCTGGTATCAGCTGGGTTAGGAACTCCTCTATAAATTCCCACAGTAAGATTGGGAAAAAGATTGACCATGCAGCTGAAGCTGATTCTCAAATCAGAAGAGCAAGGAGTCTGAAGGTTGTAATTTTCTGGGATGGTGCGGTAGGATGATTTCTGGACCTGATATAGATATATGTGGATTATTGGACAGAATAAAATACATCCTGTGTTGGAAATCTGGGGTTGTTCTCCTACCTGAGCTTACATATGTGTTCCTCCATGTCTTACACTGATTAATCAAGCAGCTCTGCAGAAGTTGGGTCACGTATATTTAGACAAGGACTGGATTTTATGTTCACAAGTGCCTTCAAGACTAATTAAGTAAAGAACAATAAATGATAGGTGAATCATAGGCTTTAATCCATGAGCTTTGAACTCTGCTATTTTAATGTTGTTTTCTCCAAAGTGGAAGAAAATACAGAACACAGTCAAAGAGTAGAATTTCAGATGTTGTCTTTCACAATAATATGTATATTGATCCACAACAGTACCTGAATTCCTTTGAGGTAATATATTAATTTGAGAAAGAAATGTGTCTTTCTCAACTTTACTGAACAGTCTGGTTCACTGAATAGCAGCTTGACAGAGACACTGTATTGGACCACAAAACACAGATACTGACCAAGAGATTTGAGAATGGCTGCCTATATTTGATGCCTTAAGTTCTAATTTTCATATTTCTCAGATTCTGGGCTGCCTAGGTGTGTAGCTCTGAGCTTCATATTGTCAGTAAGCTCTCTTCACAGGGTAGTTAGACAAAACAATCCTTTTCCAGCTTGAGACCAAGGACAACCCTTATGAGCTTCAGGTACAGAAGTATAAACAGCAAGGAACTGAGGGGAGGAAACAAAAAGGATGGGGCTTCATGACCTAAAGCTGTAACTGGACAATTAACTCCAATATGCAAATGGACCAGAACTTATAAAAGTGTGAGACCTTTACACCAGTTGTCTGTTTTGTGACAATTTTGGGTCCATCTTGGGTGTAGCCCTGGCTGGGCTCTTGTACAGCCCAAGATGTATCCATTGAGGCCTTCTAATAAATACCTGCTTTATTCTCTTAGCTCTGTGTAGCCTCTGTTCCAGGTCAGCCTCTCAAGGCATCATATTTACATTTCTTCATCTACACCTGATGATCTAAATTTAAACTTTTCCCAACTTCTGAACACCCCATGGTTAGTATTCAGAGACATTTTGGGAAGAGAGAAAGGGGGAAGTCAGATACTACGCTGAAAACTCCAATCTATGAAAATGTTAAATCTGGCCTACAAAAATGTGTCAAAAGTTGAAAGCATTTAGATCTGGGTTTTGAGACGGTCATTGGAGCTACAGGCTCTGATTTTGGGATTTCAGTCAGAATCCAAATCTGGATCTGATTCCTAAGGCATACAAGTGAAATACTTAAACCAGAAGTGCTGTTAAGGAAGGGGCTGGAGGGAGAGGGAGTTACTTAAAATCAAGCTGCTGTAACTCTGGGTTAATTAAACCATTACATTCTGTACTTTTGGAACAGTGTCATTAACTTTATTTAACATAGCAATTTTACTATATTCAGGACATGTTCTGCAGAATACCTCAGAAAGCATCATCATTCAAGGTAATGGTTCTTAATTACTTACCCAGTTTTAGCTGCAGAGTACTTTTATCATGTAATACCACCAAGTCCTCAGAAATGCCGTAAACTGCCTTCCATTTAGTCACGACAGCTCGGTTCTAGGTTTTGTTTAGGCCACTGACGAGAAAGTCGCTGAAGGATGGGATCGGCTACCATGGAAACAGTGAAGACAGAAGAGCACCAGCAGCATTTCACAGGGGCTAGGACTAAAAAAGACATTCTGCAAAGAGAAGGTAATTGAAAGACATTTACATCACAGCGGATGGCTTCCGTGCATTCCTGCCGTTCCAAGGCAACACATTCCTGGCATAGGCTGCAACAAGCCTCCACATGCACCAATGATATACAGCAGAACAGGCATTGTTAGAAAG